ATAATATAATATAATATAATATAATATAATATAATATAATATAATATAATATAAAATAAAATAACATAAAATAATATAATATAATATAAGATAAGATAAGATAAGATAAGATAATATAAGATAAGATAAAGTTGCTGACAAGACTCGGAGAGGAGAGCGTTTTTAGCAGGTAAAGGGCTTGGGCCAGCTTGGGTCCTGGGGGTTTGTGGGTAAAGTGCCCGAGCCTATGCCCCTTGAAGGCCCGAGCCGGCGAGCGACGAGCTTTCGATTCCGAAGTCCACGTCTGGAGCTTGGGCTTTCGACGTCCTGGGTGGGCATTGAGATTCGGTATACGTTTTGTAGTAGTGTTGTTATTTCGTGCTACATTCTGTCTTTTTTGTTCAGGCGTGACTTGAAGACTGGGATGTCGGAGGTGAGGTTGCAGAAATGCGGCTTTTAGCAGCTCCATTCTTTTGAAAGATTTCGGTCGGGGGTTGCAGTATAGGGTATACCGGACTGGTTAGGGCATCTGAAAGCGCTCCGATGTTCAAGAACCCCCCATTTGTGGCAGAGGCTCTGTCATCTAGGCCCAGGACTGCTCTTGATATCAGGGGAGAAGGGACCCAAAAAGCGCATGGGCTTTTAGGGTTTAGGGTTTGGGGTTTCGGCTCCATCCCATAAGCGATCCTCAGAGGTGACGAGATCATTCTCAACAGTCTTTGAGAATGACCGTGCGCACCCTTCTCATAAACTTGCACTCCAGAAGCTTTTAGCACGGCAGCTGGCGTCCACCCTCCTATTCTCGAAGCCTCCCACTCGAAACCTTCCACTATACACAGGCATCCTGTAGAACCCGTCTAGGAACCCAAGTGGTATCTTTAAAGCACCCGAAGCCCACGACGTGATCCCTACACCCTGAACCCCTGGAGCGCTATACATGCTCTCGAGCTTCAGGGCAGGGCTTCCTCCCTGCAAGACCTATGCTCGAGAACCACATAGTTTTTTTTAAACAAAACAAGGTTTTTAGGTCTTTTTTGAAGAACCTCTACGCTGAAGCCAAAACCAACACGGACTTGCAGGGGCTCGAGCAACCAGATTCAGTGTCGCCAAGAGCTCCCAGACCCCAAACCGCCAAACCCCCAAACCCTAAACCCCAAATCCCTAAAGCTAGAGCCCCAAACCCTAAAGCCCTAAACCCTAAACCTTCAACCCTAAACTCCCAACCCCGAAGCCCCCCCCCCCCACGATCCGGACCCCGCCCCCTCTTTTCGGCTTCGAGGCCGAGTGGTTCAGCGCTGCCATCTCGGCGAGAGGCGGCGGCCCGGATCTTCCTGTGCCTCGCTTGATTATTATTGTTATTGTTGTTATTATTATTATAGTTGTTATTTTTTATTGTTATTATTCTTATTTATTATTGTTATTATTATGAATATTATTATTGTTATTGTTATTATTGTGCCTTGCTTGCGAGGTTGGTAGTGTTTTACTGTCATTGATTTTGTCACGATGATGATGGGTTAGTGTTATTATGTATTGTTTTCACTGTTACTGCTATGGCTAGTATTAGTATTCTCTACTGTCGTGTTTGTGGTGTTTTCATGATATCGTTGTAGTTTCAGAGTTTTGGGCTTCGCTAGGTGCAGGTTTGGGGGTTTTATTCATCAGGTTGAGGGTTAGGGTAAAGAGTTTCATTGTTTCCTTTCGGGGTTTGGGGCTTAATTCATTGGGTTTGGGGTTTCGGGTTCAGGAGCCTTTCGCAAGCTCCAGCTTGTCCTGCTCGCTGCGGATGTTCTGTTCGCTGGGTTTAGGGTTTAGGCCTAGGCGCTCAGGGTTGGATTCTACACCAATTTTGTTGAAGTGAGAGACGGATTCGGCTTGGTGCTAGTGCGGTATGTTCCATGTAGAGCACGACCTCGGAGCCTGTTGTTGTGGTGCTCTGGCTCAGGTTTTGCAGGAGTACTGCTGGCCGCAAGCGAGCTGTGCTTCTTGCGATGGGCAGGACTTGTTATTCGGTGTAGTCCATCCGTCCAGCCATCTTTACGGACTTCAGATGTCTTGTGAAGTCATCATGATGACTCGATACAAACACTGTGACCTCAGTTGCCAGGACCCGTGTCACGCGCACTCGGCGAAAGGAAAAGAGCGGTGGCGGTGACCTTGTGTGATCAGCTTGTCGATAGAACTTTTAGCTAGAAGCCAGGCATCTGCCCTGCATGCCGGCGGCACCATGCTTGCATCAGAAGCGGAACCAGATTTCCTGAACTTTGCAGCAGAGCTCCTTGCGCCCTGCGCCGCTGTTTGGCTCAAAAGCTCTAAATCAAGCTCGCCTCAGGATCCGTCCTCCCTCGCCCTGTGGTGGCGATTTCAACGTTCTACGTTACGCACCTTAGCTCAAGAAGTTCGATCTTGTCACGGATCTTTGCTTGCCGCTTCTGCCGCTCAGGTCCGTCTCTGATCTGGACAAACCCTAAAGTCCAGCGATTCCATGGAGTCTGTCATCGAACTCGCTTATGAAGGTCTCTACATGCTTCGCATTGAGCTCGCATTTCTCCTTGTCTTCGGCTTCCTTTGGGTTGCTGGTCGTGTTCTTGGCACAGAGAAGCGCTCACAGCCCGGAAACCCTAAGGGCAGTGGTCGCAAGGCTGCGCCAGCACCCCCGCGACGCCCCGGGCTCACCCAACGCCGACCAGCCTCCGGTGACGAGGGCCTACCGAACTTGTCCGTTACCACGGTGGACCCCAAGAAGTTGCAGAACCCGACTTGGCTCGTGGCGCAAGTCACCCAGCTCTGCCGCTCCCAGGCGGGAGTTGCAGACAACATGGGCTCCTGAAAGCGACTTTAACTGAACCGTTGCAGAAACTGTATTTATAGCATCCTTTATATAGAAACTCTCGTTAAGAATCCTAAGGAGTAGGAGCTCTCGTGTCTAAACAGGCAAAAGCCCCTTCCAGGTGCAGAAGGCCTTGGAGCTCTACAAAGCTGCTTTGAAAGCCGGCCTCCAGTTGGAGGCGGGCCGTGCGGGTTGAGGGCTTCTGGGTTTTAGGGGTTCAGGGTTCAGGGTTTAGGGGTTTAAGGGGTTCAGGGGTTTAAGGGGTTCAGGCTTCGAGGTGCAAAGATATGTCTGTCAGCATATGAAACAGGCTTCTGCATTGCTGTACTTGCAAAGTCCCTTCGGCTTCAGGAGATGCTGGCCGAAGAGAGCCAGCAACTCTCCACGAGCCTTGTCACGGCAGCCATCCGTGTGGGACAAGCCGAGGACGCGCTTGGCGTGATGAAGGACGGGTAGGGTTTTACCCTGGAAAATTAGGGTTTAGGCTTCTTTTGTGCGTTTTGATTGTAATGAAGGTGGCCATCTGTGTTGCCGGTGCCATCATTGCTCTTAGAGGTTCTGGTGACTTTTCTCGTGGTCAATAGTGCGTCGCGATGATTGTTGCTGGTAGCGAGAGTGCTGTGTCGTCACGACTGCTTATCATAATGGATATCAATCCTATTCGTCGCCAGGACTGCACAGTTGCGGTTGATAAGCTTACTTGCGAGACACAGTTTTAGATCCGTTTCCTCCTCTACTTTCCTCACTATGAGGCTGGTTCGCTGCTCTGCGGCCGCAGCTGCTGCTGCTGGTGTTGCTGATGCTGCTTTCTGATGATGATGACGGTGATGATGATGGTGACGATGATGACGACGACGGGCAGCATCAGTGCTGAAGTGGCTGAATGTCAGCATTGTCGCCAATGTCCACTTGTCGAGTGTTGTGGTACTTGTAGGTTGATTGTTATGGTGGTTGCAAGTATGATTGCTCTCGCCAGGTAGATGTGCCTGACTATGTTATTCAATCCTGCGACCGGTTCCTTCCGAGCGTCTACGCTCCCAGAAATCCATCTTGCCAGGACTTGTGCCGTGTCGGCCTCGCTACAGACCCTGCGCTGCTGGCCTCGGCCACAAAGCAGCTTGCAGCGAAAGGAGCTCTTGTCTTGGTGAAAGACGTCATTTAGATTTAAGGGTTTAGGGTTTAGGGTTTAGTCAGACCTTGAGATTGTGCTGTGCCTAAGAACAACTGTGCGATGCAGAACAGCTCCAAGCTCCGGCCACGAGAGTTTAGCATTCCCAGCATCCGCGGGGAGCTACCCCCGGAGACGGTACCACGAAGGCAAACCTTAAGCCCTAACTCCTAGTCCCCAACAAACCCTCTAGACTTTTAGGATCTTTTTGCTTGGGTTTCGCCTCGGCCAGCGGACCAGCGGCCAGCTGGCAACTGAAGGTTCCATACTTTAGAAGAACGGGGTCTGATTGAGTAGCGGCTAGTAGCGGTCTCCCCTGGCCGTCTTCGCATCATCCCAGCAGTATGAGGCACATCAAAACAATGCTATACTAATTATTGAGGCCCTTGAACTCCTCCAACGAAAGCAAGACCTTAAAGCGTAAATCCTAAATTCTGAACCTTAAACCCCAAAACTACTTAGGGAAGTGGGGACTTCTGCTGCCCAGGCTTTGCACCTCGAAACAGCGGCTTGCCGCGGAAGCTTAGGGTTCGGGGGCATTTCGGGTAAGCGTTTAGGGTTAGGGTTTGAATTTTAGGCTTTTTCACCGCGTAGGGTGCCCGTTTCTGGAGCTATACAGGGTTTAGGTGATGAGTTTGATGGCGCTTTGGGCGAGGGTGCTGTTTCGATTCTGGGTTTGTGGGCTTCGAGTCTAGCCCGAATGCCTAGAAGTCTGCAAGTCCCCAGCCCCAATCGCAAAGCCTACGGCAAGGCTAAGACATCAAGCTCTGAATTCGGAAGCTACTGCATTCTGGGTTCTTTGACAGCTGCATAGCAAGACTGAAAACTAGTGACAGAAGATGTAGTCATTGTGATGACCATCATCACAACACAGCTAGCATCATCATCACACGACAAGGCCTGTTATGCCATGACATTTGTGCACCGTCCGGCCAAGTTGACAGCATGGGCGCAAAAAACGCAGCAAGCCATGGAGTCTTCTGCGTCACGCCCTTCGTGTTTTAGTAGTAGTAGTAGTAGTAGTAGTAGTAGTAATGCAGTCAGCCCAGCCGAGGCAACGTCTCAAACAGGCGCCAACACCATGAGAGAGCCGGCACTGACAACTCGAACAAGCCGCAGTCCAGAGGCTCTTTGCCGACTGCCTCATCATCTACGACTTCGCCTGCCAAGACACCAAGCTCACCATTCAGGACGATTTGGCGTTTCGAGAGATTCCCGAAAACGTGCTAGATCATGTAGTGCAGGATCGTCAAGACGTAGCAAGATCAACCCCTTCCATTCCCCCATGCTAGCCTCACCGCTGGAGTTGTTGAGCGGTTTCGGTTTTAGCTAAAACCCCTTGGCTTGCGAGGGGTTTGCACTTTAGCTTCGCCTGCATGCCTTGAGGCTTTACAACTTTAGATCTTATATTGTATTTCATTATAACATATTCAGATGTTGTATCATTTTCTGTCATATGATGTTGATTATGTTATCCTATTCTATTCAATTATGTTTTATTCTGTTCTGCTCTATTCTATTTCTATTCTAGTCTATTCTATTCTGTTCTATTCTCTTACAGTATCATGGTACAACATGTTGTAGTATTTCGTGTTATGCTATATTTGGTGTTTGATTTCGGAAGGAGTTGTTCTTGGAGTTTGACAGGGAAGCATGTGTTCTTCAAGCTTTCAGTCGAAGTCATGTGCTGCTCCCACCGGCTAGACTTGATGATAGGATTCAGCGTTGCAGCGCGCCCTCTGTTTCGGGCTATGAGGCGTGAAGTCCTGCACCCCACAGGCGAAGTCGCAAAACCAAAACTTTAAACCCTGAGCGCTGGTAGGACAAGAGTGTCTGGAGCTGCCTTCTTTTCTGTGCGGTGGAGACGAAAGGCCTGGGACTTGAAGCATACATCGAGGTGACGCTGTTGCGATTTAGGGAGGTTTAGGACTTTAGATTTAGGGGTTGGAGCTTCAGTATGCAGGCTTGGAGGCTTAAGGAATGGAGGTTCAGAGATCTACGGGTGTGATTCGACAAGGCATTGACTTCCCTGTCTTGCTGAGCCAGCGCTCGGGCTTTGGGGAAATGCTGTGGTGCAGGGCCCAGGGCTTTAGGGCTTAGGGCTTACTTAGGGCTTTAAGGTTTAGGGTTTAGGGCTTTAGGGTTTAGGTTTTAGCACACAATTTCATGCACCTCAAAGCCCTGAGTTCATGGTGCTCAGCCAAAATCAACAGATCGACGTTCCCAGCACTCTTGTCAGGCTCAATGGTTTAGATTTTGCGGTTCTGTTAAGAAAAGGGGCCCTAATCATTGCCTATACTATTTTGGGGGTATCCTTATTATAGTTATAGTAGAATATACCCCAAAATCCTATTCTCTGATAGGTCTTGTTCAAGAGGGAGCAACTGTCACTCTACGTCTCTTTGCTCGCCCCGACGTTCAGTCCGCTTCACCCCAAAATCCTATTCTAACTTATTAAGGCCCCTAGATTAGGCGGAGCGGGAGCATGTGAGAATCTGCACGGAAGGGCAACCCGTGGCAACCCTCGACCTTCAACCCCCTTGCAGTGCCAGGAACGCTGGATCCAACCAAGATCCTAAACCGATCACCTTCTATCCTCTTACCCCAAAGCAGGATCATAGAAGCCTGAGTATTGCAGCAGTAGCCACTTTCTCCCGAAGCCCTGTTCTAGTTATCAAGGGCCCTTTGTTGCGCCTTTTGCTGGGCGTCCTTTCCCTTCAGCGCCTTTTAGGCTTCGGCCGCTGTGCCTTCTTCTTCGAAAGGCTGAAGGCTTGTGGCGCGCCCTCCCCGAAGGATTTTGGCCGCCCGGCAACAGTATTTTGCGGCGAAAGTTTAGGGTTCGTTTCTAGGCGGGTGTTCGTCAGAATAAGTACGGGAGATCAAGAAACATGCGACGAAGAGGGGAACTCTGACAGTCACAGTCCATGTCATTCTCCAGGGTATTTCCCTCTGCTTTGCCTTGGATCGAAAACGGCATGTTCATGGGACATTGCTGAAGTGCTGGAAGGCAACATGGTGCGGTTTGCGTCCAGCACTGGCAACTGGCGATTGGCGCTAAGTCTAATCGACGAGATGCACAAGGCAGCGCAAGCTAGCTAAACAAGGTCATTACGCTGCATTACATGGTTGCAAGTGAGAAGTCGCCTTTCCGAGCGCTGAACAAAATGCACCCACTTTGGAACTTAAAGTTGCTTGAAATCACTGCTTCTTTACCATCTCACGCCGTGCCTGTGCATGCAGCCTTTAGAGCCCAGGCTACGACGCAACGACGCAACAGCAACAGCAACACAAAAACAGCTGATGCTACTACGAGGACAACGCCCACGACGACTGCTACCAATATCCTGCAGCTCTGACTTCCGCTCCCACCCCCTCCTACTACCACAAGTACACCACTCTTGCTCTGCCGCTGCTGATGCTGCTGCTGCCGTTTGGTGTTTGTGACTGCTGTTGCCATGAGTGACTGGTTTCGATGACTGTCATGATTCTCGTTATCATGTTACATGTTCTACTAAGCTCTCAACTCTCCGCTACATCCTAAATCCGCAACCTTCAACCCTAGACCCCAAACCATGCCTGTCTGACCAGTCAGCTTCTCGAAGCTTGCAGGCGAAAGTCGAGGTTGACAGCGTGGTGTACAACACGGCCACTTGCTTGGTACTAAATCCCGAAACCTGAAACCATCCAGGTTCAGGATGTTCGGGGTAGGGCTTCAGGGTTTAAGGTGGAGGCTTTAGCAAGCGGTTTGGGGTTTGGAACCCATGAACCCCTGAACCAAATCCCGAAACCCAACAGCCCAAAGATCTTCCAATGCATCGATCCTGAAAGGCGAATCGTAGTGTCGATGGAAGCAGTGTTACAAGGGAGAAAAGTAGAAGTATCTTGCAAGATGTGGTGAGCATGACGAAGAGCATAGTATCAAGAGTCGTAGCAACATACCTAAACTATCGCCCAACAGCAATCCTTGCAATATTTCCGGTAGTCACAAAACCTCCCCAGTCCAAACCACTGGACCGGGTCTCTCTTGACTGGAAGTATAGTATATAGTATATAGTTTATAGTATATAGTATATAGTATATAGTATATAGTATCTAGTATATAGTATATAGTATATACTATATACTATATGGTAGTAGTACAGCACTGTATAGTATATATAGTATGATCTTAGGTCAGCAACTCGGCTCAGGTTTTGGCTGCCTGTGTCAGCGCTGAGCAGCTGGACAAGGCTTCGCGGCGTCGTTGGGGGTGCGATCATGGGTACTACGAGTTCACAAAAGAAGCGCATAACTGGTGGAGAAGACGGCGAAGTCTGGCACCGGATAAGAGGAAACGGCGATGAGGAGGATCTTGAGAATGCTGATAGAGATGGCGCATGAGAGCCACAAGAGATAATTCCAGTACTAGCACAAATGCTAGAAACAACCAAGTCATCGTCGCCGTTACTTCTATCTGGCAATCTAATATCACCACAACGACGGCGAGGACGGTGACCTACTGCCACTCATGGTGCTGTTTCTGCTCCTCCTTCTCCTAAACCCTAAACCCTCCTCCTCCTCCGCCTCCGGCTCGAAACGTGTTCCTAGATCTGCTGCTACCACTGCTCATCACATAGCTGTTTTTGGCCAGCTATCGTCTGGCCCATATTGCATTAGCTGTCATGGGCCATCACCGCCTCGACAGCCTGCGACAGGTAAGAACTACCATGTCAGTACTCGAAGTCAGATTAGACAGCAGTTCTGATTTGCCCATTGCTGCGGACGAAGAGCGTGTGCAAGCATGTCTGCTACACCTGCGCAGCCGCAGGCGCGGCAGTTGCTGGACGACATGGTGGCGGCCGGTGGCGTCACCGACGTCATCACGTACAACACGCTGGCCAAGGCACGAGAAACCTGTGGAAGCCCAGTACATGGCAGTGTAAGCTGTAAACGAGTTTCTGAGTATGGCCTGGCGTGTTATTGCTGGGCTTTCGGGGCCTTGGGGTCATGCGATTCATAGGCCTCTGGTTCTTGAAGCTGACCCGAGGGCTATGCCAAAGCTGGGTGCATGGAGACCTGCTTCGAGTTATACAAGCTCATGCGCTCGCGCGGCCTGACACCCTCGCAAGTGACCTACGGCATTTTGCTGGATGGCTTCATCAACGACAACGAGGTCCGGCCAGATCTTCCTGTGGTAAGACACAGATAGTCGAAATAGATGTGTCTTAAATTCTTGTGGTGTTCTCGGGGCATGCCACAGCTTTCGAGATTCGATCGACGACGCGGGTAGTCTCGCCGGGTCCATTGCCTTCAGCACTGAAAGCAGCAAGCATCCGACCCACCCACTCCCAAGCGGCGCTCCATGTGTATGGGGTTTGGGTTCGGGTTCTTAAGGACGTAGATTTAGATGAGGCCTGATGAAACCTTCCCAAGCCCCAACCGTCAAGACTTGGCCTGACACCCCGACCAGTGAAAGCAGGTGGAAAGGGCCGTGGAGATCTTCGAAACAATGCGTGCCGAAGGGTGCCAAATGAATACGGTGCCTCGGGCCTATGCAGTTTCTCCAAGCCTGTATCATACCCTGTGCTGGCTCCAGGGACATGTCAACACCTCATCCTGTTCCGGGGAGTTTTCCACATCGGGGTACCTTCGCAGGGTCCTTGCGTCAGTCCTGCATGGCTTGCATGTCAATGCTGCGCCGATCCCCTGTTTGGGGACATTTCTTCCTCCAGAGTCTGCCTAAACCGACCCACAGGTGCTCTACACAACTTTGATCAAGGGCTTCGCAAGGGCTGGCCAAGTGGATCAAGCAGTGAAGATCTACGAAGAGATGCAGAAGGCCCTAAACCTTAAACCCTGGAGGGGTGGGGGTTGGGGTCGGGGGCGGTTTGTTTGGGGTTCATCATGGCAATGACACTCATGATAAGGCGTTGTCGCTCTGACTATGTCCAATGTAAGGTTGTTGCCATTGTTGTGCAGACTGCGAATCTCGTTCTGACATGTATGAACATGCTTATGGTTTTGAGGAGATTTCGCTACTCTTAAAAACAAACAAGACCTCCAGGTGAGCCAAGCGTCCATCTTGCGTCCTGAAGTCCGAGGCTTTCCTAAATACAAAGACAGAAGCTAGAGTCTTGTTGCATCACTAGCGTTTCGTCTTAGTGTTTTCATTGCCATTTTTACACCAGCCTGCGAAGATGGTCCAGTGCATGGCTGTTGTGTTGCGTTGAGGATTGTTGCCGTTCGCAGCATCACGACGTCTCACACCGCCCTGGGCGGAGGAGAGATCCATGCAGCCCGATGTCATCACATTCTCCATCCTCATCAAGGCGAACTGCGATGTGGGCAGGCGGGGTCCTGTGGGGGTGGGGTTCGGATGACGGGTTTAGGGTTCAGGGGTTCCGCAGACTTGAATCAGTCGGCGATCCCAGGTTCCTACGGGGCCTTTCTGAGCACCAGCACCCTCAACCAAGCTGCCCTCAGTCGCCGCCCTCATTCTCCCAGGTACACCACCCCCAACCCTGCAATTTTCGAGGGACTAAGCCTTGACCCCAAAACCCCTGAACCCTAACCCCAAGCCTCTAGTCTATTGACCCTTAGCTCCCCTGCTAACCCTAAACGCCCCTAAAGACCCCAGCTCCGAACTCTCCAAATCCTAGACCTCCAAAAAAATACTTCCACGATCTAAAACCCGAAGCCCTAAACCTTAGGGAGGAGGATTGCAGGGGTTTTCCACAGCGTCCGCTTCAGAAACCTTAAGCTTCCTCCAACCCCAATTTAGGGACTTTCCGAAAAATTAGGGTACCGTATTTTGGGGTCCCTATAAGAAGGAATCCAACTATTTAGGGTACACCATATTTTGGGGTCCTTATAATAAGGATCCTACTACTTACTTAGGGTACTATATTAGGGTCCCCCTATTTTCGGAAATCCCCCCCGAAGCCCGGACCTGGCCCGGAGGTTGGAGGAGGCTCTGAAGATGCTCTTGGCCATGAAGGAAGCGGGGCTGAAGCCGGACGAGGCGCTTTTGTGCGTTTTTTTATTTATAGGGGGTTTAGGATTTATGCATGCGGTGTCTCGGACAGTCTCGAAGCAACCACTTGGAG